GGGAGGGCACATGATGCCCACATCCTAAGAAACTCCAGCCCGTGAAACAGGCTGGAGGTGGGCACTTTCTTCCCCCAGTGGGAATTTACGGTTGAGGACATCTGCATGCCACTGTTCATCATGAGGGACGTGGCCTACCCCCTCATGCCGTGGCTGATGTGGCCGTACACCAGACACATAGACCCTGGCTGGGAAGGATTCAATCTTTACCTGAACTGGGACCACAACTAGGTGGAGTGCGCCTTCGGATAGCTCAAGGGGAGATTCCATTGTCTGCTCACCTGTCTTGACAAGGGCAAGCAAAACATCGCGGAGGTTGTTGCATCATGTTAAGTGCTGTAGAACATAGTGGAGTGGAACAGGGAGACCTTGTTCCTGGGGTGGATGGCAGTCAAGGGCTGTGTGTTCGAACAGCCCCAGACAGCCTTCATCTGGCAGGCGCACCATGATGGGGTGTGCATCCGAGATGCCCTCAGGGAGATGCTCTCCCACAGTAGGGTAGCTTCTGTCTGGTGTCAACATCTGCCTCCCATCCCCAACCCTTCCCTCTCCACCTTCCCTCACCTCCCAATAAACACAACTGTTTTTGTTTAAACAACAATAAACTGTATTTATTTACATGGGGACAAAGGGTGTGCAGTGAGAGGAGCTCTGAACTGGGAGGGGGAGGAGGAAGGGACTCTCAACTGGGAAGGGGAGTTATTGCTGGGAGGGGTGGCATCTGTGGGTGCAGAGCATCGGCACCCTTCAGCCCAGGTTGGGGCAGGCAGCACGGGGAGGTAGGCAGGACAGGGTGTAGCAGGAGGGGCCATGGGCATGTCAGGGAGGGTGGCAGGATGGGGCAAGGCCTTGCCACAGTGCACAGCATGGCCAATGTGCGAGGTCAGCACAGCGATGCTGTTGCATATACAGTCGCAGCGGTTGAGGAACTGGCCCCACACCTGCTGCCGCCACTCCTGGTCAGCCCACAGCTTGATGCTGACCGCCTCCCCCGTCGTCTCCACGGCCTGCACATGACGCCGGAGGAGCTGGTTGCGTTGCTTGGCCTGCTTGCCTGGGTGGTTGGTGACGCCGCTGCAGGGCTGAAGGGTCCCTCACTCCTGGGTGGTCCTGCTGCAGAGAACACAGATAACGGCGAGGCTGTTAGGGGACGTCTAAACTACATGCCTTTGTCGTCAGAGGCATGTAGATTTGTTGTTTTGGCAAAGGCAAATGAAGCCGCGATTTAAATGATCGCAGCGTCATTTAAATTTACATGGCTGCTGCACTGAGCCGACAAACAGCTGATCATCTGTTTGTCTTCTCAGCGCGCTAGTCTGCACACTCCCCTGTCAACATCAAAGTCCTTTGTCGGCAGCCCCAGTAAACCTCGTCCCACGAGGAATAACGGGGCTGCCGACAAAGGGCTTTGATGTCAACAGGGGAGCGTCCAGACTAGCCCGCTGAGCGGACAAACAGATGATCAGCTGTTTGTCGGCTCAGCGCGGCAACCATGTAAATTTAAATGAAGCCGCGATCATTTAAATCGCGGCTTCATTTGACTTTGCCTATGTGTCTAATCTACATGCCACTGACGACAGAGGCATGTAGTCTAGACACAGCCTTCGTCAGCCATGCCCACAGTGTCCCTGAGCCCCATGCCTTCCTCCCTGAGCCTCACGTGACACCACACTCTGTGGCTTGGGCCCAGTCAGTCCCCTGTGTGTGTGTTCACATAAAGGACTAGCTCAAAATCCTGGGACTGAAGTGATCCTCTGTGGATTGTAACCCTTGGGAGACATCACTGTGAATGAAGACCTTGTCTGTGTTCTAGCCACTTGTCATGCTGTGTCTGTCTGCGTAGCACTGTGTACACTCCCTCCCCAAGGTAGAGCACATGGCTTCCACTCTTCTCACTGTCTGTGAGCATACACCATTGATGCTGTAGTCATGTTTGAGTAAACATCCACATTGCATGGGAACAAGTGTGGCAGACAAGGTTTGGGTTATCGGATTGCTGTCATTGATTTCCTTGGAGACGCAGCCAGGGCTACTTGGGAGTGCACCATCCCTGCAGCAAGACTCAGTGGTCCAGATGCCCGGGCTGCCCACTTCCCTGCTCCCCGTCCCCCAGCCCTCAGGCAAGCAGCCCAGGGAAGTGTGTGGCCACCATGGGGGGATTCCTGTGGGGGGCAGCAGAGGAGTCAGGAGCAGCCTGGAGGCTCCGTAGGGGCCCCGCTCACAGGGCTAGCTTACTGTGCTTTTCCTAGGAGCAGCTGCTGTGTCACACGGGCAGGCATGGCTGTCTGTGTGTGGCACCCTTCGGGATGTGTGGGGTATGGCCTGTGCCCTTGGGGCTTGGCTGCTTCCAGCTGGCATCCTCCCTTCCCTGGGCAGGACGTGTGTGAGCAGCAGGGTCACAGGCATGCCTTGGAGCTGCCTGCCACATCCACATGCCACACAGTCAGGCTGCACGAGGTAGGCTCCGTAGGGGCCCCGCTCACAGGGCTAGCTTACTGTGCTTTTCCTAGGAGCAGCTGCTGTGTCACACGGGCAGGCATGGCTGTCTGTGTGTGGCACCCTTCGGGATGTGTGGGGTATGGCCTGTGCCCTTGGGGCTTGGCTGCTTCCAGCTGGCATCCTCCCTTCCCTGGGCAGGACGTGTGTGAGCAGCAGGGTCACAGGCATGCCTTGGAGCTGCCTGCCACATCCACATGCCACACAGTCAGGCTGCACGAGGTTGCAAGTTCTGCGTACTGCTGCACAGTGTGCAGCTTGAACTGCCTGAGTGACACTCCCCCCCTCGCCGGGCACCCGGCTCCCCTGCCCTTGTGAGTGAGAACCGCAACACTCACCGGAGGATCTGTCACTGCTCTCCGACAAGTTCCAGGAAACGTCCCAGCTGCTGGGCACTGGCTCAAGGTGGAGGGTGATGGTGCTGGTGTGGTCCTCTCCCTTGTCCTCTGATGCAGTGGTCAGGTTGCCCTCCTCCTCCAGGTCAGGTGGCTTGACCACTGGGGTGTGCAGTCTGGTATCAACCACCAGTGAGGGCCCTTGGACCACTATCTCCCCCAGGGTGGCATGCAACCAGTTGTAGTGGAGCAGGTGTCGGCTCCTGCCCCCCTGCCCTCAAAGGCCCTGACATAGCCAAGGCGCAACTCCTTGAGCTTGGCCCGGATCAGTTCAAGGGTCCGGGCCAGGTGCCCCTGCTTAGCCAGTGCCTGGGCCACATGGCTGAAGATGCTGGTGTTGTGTTGCCAGGGCAGGGGGTTGTGGAAGGATTCCTCCTGCACCCTAAGATCCAGGAGGGCCTCCACCTCAGCCCTGGACCAGCATGGGGCTCACCGCTTGCTGCTCCTCTGGGCCTGCAGGGAGCCCTGGGGTGGCTGCTGCAGGCCCAGAGGGTGCAGGTTCATGGGTTGGCTCTGGAGCAGACATATGGGGTCTCCTGGGTGCAGCAGGCAGAGCCATGGGGTGGACAGCTGCCAGCTATGCTGCTGCTGCCACGCAGCATCTGCAATGTGCCTGTGCCTTTAAGGGGGGGAGGGAGTCCGGCAAGCAGGAAGTAGCACGCTGTGAGTGTGGGTACAGAGTGTCCAAATGGCCATCTGCTTTTTTTCCTGGGAAGCCAGTTCTTTCGCACAAACTCCCTGCTGCCTGTCCACACTGCCCTCTTCTGCAAGAAGCCCTCTGTTCCGATGCTTTACTGTAAATTTACTTGTGCAAGAATGCACATGCAGTGTAGACACTCCACACGTTTTTGCTCAAGAACAATTGTTCTTGCTCAAGAAGCCTGCAGTGTAGATGTAGCCCTACTGTATATTTTTATGCAGGGACACACACACACACACACACACACACACACACACACACACAGACTCTGTGCTCGGGCACAGGAGTGGAGGGACACTGGCCACTTCTATAGTTCCTGTAACATCTCCCAAATTCCAGGGAACACATAGACTGCTTTTTCTTGCTTTCCTCCTCCTTCCTGCAGATCATGGGCCAATCCCCACTCTGCACCGAAGGGTATGTCCACTGAAGGACCAATCATATTTATCCTGTTCTGATGAGATTATGTTCACTCCAGGCAAAATCTCTCTAGTCACACTCCTGAACTTGTGCACTCCTCAGTTTCACATACAAAAGGCTAGGGTACAAAAGCAATGAATGTTTATCCTATGATTTGCCAGACTTTCAATCTACCGTACACAATGCTCTTAAGAGTCTGGCTCATCCTGCCCCAGGCAGATTTGCTTTGTATATATATTTCAGCAGATTAAAGCAAATGTCCTTCAAAGTGGGCCAAATTTGCAGAGTGCTCAGCTTGGCTTCAGTTACACAATATGTACCCATTGCTGGCAGAAGTTAGCACAGGCATACACAGATGCTTACAAACAAAAGGAGCCAGCATATATTTATATGTATGCAGATGGAAACCACGTTTGGAAAAGCAGTAGATACCAAAGACAATGTTTGCTTCTGCCCAAATTGTAAAAATAAAGTCAAAGGTCCTTCATATCTCACTTTGACATTTTGTATATATGTGTGAAAAAGTTGCCACAGAGAAAGGCAATATGAAAAGATAAGGACCTGGAACATAAATTAGTGGGTACTTAGTAGCATAATCACATATAATTTACCACTCCATGTATTTTGCACCGGCCAGCAATTCAGAGAGTTTGTTGAGGAATGAAAAGCTACACAAAATAAGTCATTGCCAGGAATCACTAATGTAGAGTCATTGTGGTCACTGGGCTGAAATTAAGTAAAGCCCCAGCCATGATAAAATAAAAGACTTCATCCCACCATTGCTAAATGGTAAAAGTTTGGAGTATAATATGGCATTTTAGGAGAAGCTTAGCAGTATCAATACAACTATGACTTTTACACCTAGCACATGGATAATAATAGAATTACAAAGCACAAACCTGATATTGGAAATATCGAAATCATTTATGATGTACAAGGTTTCAGAATAAATAATGTGGAAAATGAATGTAATAGAATTATAACATAGACTAGGAATTCAGAAAACAAAGAGTATTGGATTGTAAACAAGTATTGGATTGAAATCCTACCTGGGTAACCTTTTCTGTTACATTGTGCGTTCGATCTTTCACTTTGGGTGCAATAATTGTTTTCTCTGAAGAAGGAGGCGATGAAGATTTTTTTTCACTTTTGATATCTGAAAAGTTCAGGGTGAGTTGAGGAATTTTGTTGATGGTGCTATATTTGTTGAGGTTTGAATCTGATGTGGATCCCAAAAGACTTGACTTGATATGATTGAAAGGCCCTAAAAATTGAAAAGCATACTTAATATTTGACAAATGGAGGGAACTAAAGAAGATGTCCATTAATTTGCTCTTGGATGTGCATAGACAGTTTCCTTTGTCCATTACCTACAGTACTGTACAAAATCAATAGATAAACCATGTAAATAGATGCTGTGTACATCTAGCTCTAAAACTTCGGAGCCACTTAGGTTTTCTACTCACAATATAAGTTGGAAATATAGGCTAATCTATACTGTTTGTTTTTTGCAGAAGAGGAAATGCAAATGAAGTGCTCATTTGCAAATCTTGCACTCTCATTTACATATTCTCTTCTGATCCTTTTTGCATAAGAGGTTTTTGCAAAGAAAACTGCAGTGTAGATGGGGCCATTTTTCGGAAAAAAACCCTTTTGCGTAAGATCCCTTATTCCTCAAAAAATAAGGTTTATAGGATCTTGCACAAAAGGGTTTTTTTTTTCAGAAAAATGGCCCCGTCTACACTGTGGTTTTTTTTTTTGCAAAAACCTCTTCTGCAAAAAGAATCGGAAGGGAATATGCAAATGAGAGCACAAGATTTGCAAATGAGCGTTTCATTTGCATTTCCTCTTCCACAAAAAATAAACAGTGTAGACATTCCCATAGTGTCCTTACTTTACATATAAAAGTGAAAGAAGGACACAGAAACTGATTTTATACAGGAATGGCTATTCTGTGTGGGTGTTTAAGAGCGTTAGTCTTCAGCCTTGTGATTCACTGGACAGCCAAGTCACAAGGTTATTTTGCTATTACTAGGTAAACATCTGTGAGGTTTATGTCTGTAAAATGATAAATTATAAAAGCGGAGCATATTTTTGTAAATCAAGTAATTTTGAATACTTTCTCAAAATCCTGCTTATTAAATTATTTCAGGTATTTTAGACAAGAGTCAATTATCCTAGTGCAGATATGATGTAAAATTATTTGACATCCATCAGCAAAATAATTACAGTGGAGATGGAGAAAAGGTAGCAATTTGAATGCCAAAAGCTGAAGTGATTTTACTAAAAACAAGTATTTATTTACCTCTCTACAATATTTTATAACGTGTCTCAATTCATTCCCTTCATTTAATTAATCAGTTTGACATCCAGGTCCCTTACCATGATGCATCTATTGTGATGTCCTAATACTTAATGCCTGTGGTGTTTTTATTTGCATATAGATTGTAAATCTCTTTTTTTTTCATTCATGGGACCAGGACTACAACAGGGAGAGAAAATGGTACTAGTTTTCAATCACTACTCTCAGTCTTAATTGTTTTCATTTAAGTCTATTCCATAGAGGCTCAATTTACTATTACAGCATTCTCAACACACTGTGTCTTACTTATATAATTTGTTTTTTGGTCATTTGGCCAATGTTATAATCTGATCTGCTTCAATAGTGCTTCATTATCAGATGGCAATGGCCCAGTATACAGAGATTCTAAATAAAATGAGATTCATAACTGATTCTATGGAATAATTTTAAATATATACAATTAGTTAAAATCATCCATGATAAATCACTACTAGAGACAAAAAGAAATATACCTGGGGTGAATTTGATCAAATAAACCATAAGTATAACTACTAAAATAATTTTAGAACTGTTGATTGAATTGAAGTATTCATTAATATATGGTCTACATTTTGTTTTTTAGGCACCCAACAATGGCCTCAAATCTGAAATACTTTCTGTATTTTTACTCAGACATGATACAGGCCATGTCTACACTAAGGGTGTGTCTACAGGGTTTTGTTGACAAAAGTGGACTTTTGTTGACAAAACTATACTGTATCTACACTACCGCCGAGTTCTGTTGACAGTAACGCGGCAGTTTTGTCGATGGCGTTAAACCTCATTCTACAAGGAATAACGCCTTTTATCGACAGAGTTCTGTCGACAAAAAGCACTATTGCATCCACACTGTGCTTTTTCAAAAGAGAGCATCTAGACTCTCTGTCGAAAAAGCTGCTTGCTTTATTGACAGAACTGGCTGTAGTCTAGACGCTCTTTGTCGATAGAGGCTTTGTCGACAGTATCTGTCAACAAAGTCTCTGTCAACAAAAGCCTGTAGTCTAGATGTACCCTAAGGCAGAAGGTCGAATTAAGATTCACAACTCTAGCTGTGTTAATTATGTAATTGGAGTCGATATAATTTGATTGAAGTTTCTGCACCATTCCCACAGCAGAAGGCCGACAAGAACAAATACACCCGTCAGTTTTCCTTACTCCTCACAGGAGTACTGGAGGCTGATGGGGGCACTCTCTGAGTTCAGTTTGGTGAGTCTTTACCAGATCAGCTAAATCGAACTGCGGAAGATCAATTATGGTAGTGCTGATTTTCTCTGGAGTGAAGACTTGGCCTTAGACAAAGATACTATTGACTTCCACCGAATAAGGGGCTTAGGACTTGACCCATATGAATATTATGAAATATTCCTGTAAAACCTCTTATATCCGTGAACTGCTTTTCAAGAAGTATTATTACAATTGTCATTCTCTACAAATGACTGGGAAAAATAAGACTTCCTGTCAAATTCCATATACCTTTCAGAGTCTTGTGTTATTTTAGTAAGATTCATAATAGCTGTTCAGAAATAACTACAGTAAAAGTCAAATGCTTCATGAAATGGATGTCCATTATAGTACTTTATAGTGTCTTTACAGTACTACTGCATAGAGGCAGTTGAGTCCATATAGCTGACCATTATTCTACATTCATCTTGTAAAAATGTGCTCGGTACACAATATTTTTTTAAAGAGGGGAACTTTAAAGAAGTCTAGAGATCAAATTCATTATCCCTTACTGAGACATGGCTTTATTTCTTTGATTAGCTCTTTGATTATTGATTCACTAGAGACTTAGTGATTCCTCTCTAAAGTATTACAGCCTATGATAAATACAACACTACCTTTTCCCCTTTGGCTTCAAAAAAGATAGTTCAGAGTTTAAAATATCTTATTGACAATGAGTTAATAATGTTACTTCTTTAAAAGACATTAGTGGGTTAATCCCAAATCTCTGGTTTGTAGTGACTGAAAATTATTCCCAACTCTGAGTTGCTCTGTGCTTATTTCCTAGTAGACAGATGTCCGTACCAGGGAGAGGAAAAAAACAAAAGAAAAAAAACCCAAAATACCAACACAACTGACACTAATTGGCCCCTTGTTGACAGTTTCAGCAGAGAGGCGAGGGATTGAATAAACATGGAGAATGAAATATCCCTCCACCCCGCCCCAAAGGAAATCCCTCTAGATCTGGTGTAAGGCTCATTGGTGTTGCACTGTCACTGCTTATGCTGTACCTGTTCTGTAGATTAATTGAGGACTTCATTCTCCTGTGATGTCAATCCATCATATTTTACCAGCAATAAATTCACGTACAAAACTTGTTTTACAGAAAAAGACACTGCACTATATTTAAAACTCTACTGACATACACAAAAAGCAAATGTAGTGACTTTGTTATCCACTGGTGATGAATTGCTTACAGAATTTAGCTCATGCACTACATGCAGTTTAGTAAGGAGACATTTTATTAGGTACACAAACTTTTCCAGCATGCATGAAATCATGAACCAAAGAGTTCCCAAATTTAGCTACAAATATTACAATTAAATTCAGTTTTCTGATGCATTGTTCAAGAAGTGTTTTCCAGAACTGGAGGAAAGAAATATGGAATTAAATTTAAATGGCATATAGGCACAGCTCAGCCACCTTTTCCTGTCATTGTTCTGGTGAATAGAAATTATTTCTGAATACTAGTGTCCATGATTCAGATTTATTTCAATGTGAAATTGGCAATGAACTTCATGCATGCCCATTTGGATACTACAGTAAGCTTGAAACCATACCCCCTGCCATCCAGGAGCGTGAAACTAGTTTTAAGGAGACAAAAGAGGAATAAATGAAGAGACTGCCACATGGGTCCTGATGACTATTTAATGTTCTTTACTTGTAAGTTGGTAACTGAAATAGAACTAAATGCCTCCTAACTATTGATTGTTCATTAAAGATCCAATTCTACACTCATTTAATAGACAAAATTCGCAGGGACTTTTTGCCTGTTTAAAGACAGCATCACTAAATCAGCTAAATCTCTCTTTCTCTTTCACTCTCTTTCTGTTAACAAACATTTAAGAAGAACAGGCATAATTATTATTTAACCATTCCTTCACGTCTTCCAATGGGTGGAAGCTAATGCAGTGGCTTTAGCTGGGGGACTAATTATGTCTCCAACAAACTAAAACAAAGATCATTTCAGTAATGTACCTGGCCCTATAGAGGTCAGCATGAGAATGTTGCATTTATACATTTCATACAGCAGGCAAGTTAACATGCCAAACAGTGTGGCAGCTGAAGAACTAGGTGGTACCTTTTATACCCATACATTACCTTTGACATTGCGACCATTGTCTGGTTTTCAGCATAATAAGAATAAAGAAGAAAAGAGAAAAGAAGAAAACTAAAATCTGCATCAGAGAATGCATAGTATATTGGTTACAATATATAATTGACTGGAATTACAATACTTTTGCATCAAATTAATTTCTTATTAAGATGAGATCATTTTGATAATTCAGTGATTATGATCAATAACCTTTAAAACACCAGGGGTAGATGCTTTGCTGTTGTAAACTATCATAGCCCCATAGTGGAACTGTGAAAATTTATAGCAGTGAAAAAATCTCCACCATATGTCTTACCTCAGTACAAAAAATCTAATACCTTTCCCCCAGAATATGCTAATGTTGACGTTGTTCCTCCAACACTGCACTTTGAAGACAAATACTATCATTCCATGAAAAGAAAAAATAGTAAATTTTAATTAAATTAGTACTGGAAGGCCAGATTTGCAACGATATTTAGGACCTAAAGATGCAGAAAGGCACATAGGGTGAGATTCACAAGGGGAAGATAGGCATCCCACTGTTTCTTTTGGCTCCTGAATCAACATTTAGGTACCACCAGCATTCATAAAATCCTTGCTGAAGTGCCGCTGAAGCCTTCAGGTGCCTAAAACTCTAGACACCTAAGTTTCCATTGTTAATGTTCCTGGGGCACCTACATTTTGGCAGCTGGATAGGCACATAGTCCTAACACACCAAGACTATGTCTACACTGGCGGCTTCTTGCACAAGAAAATCATGCACAAGGGTTCTTGTGCAAGAATTCTTGCACAAGAAAACGTCCACACGGCCATACAGGAGATGTGCTTTTGCGCAAGAGCATCCATGGCAGTGTGGATGCTCTCTTGTGCAAAAAAGCTATGATGCCCATTTTAGCCATAGGGCTTTCTTGCACAAGAAATCCCTGCCGAGCATCCACACTGCCCTCTTGCACAAGAGCTCCTGCGCAAGAGGGCTTACCCCTGTTAAAAAAGAGTGTAGCTTTTGCACAAGAAGCCCCCTCTTACCACACCATACTGTAAATGTCCTTGCGCAAGAGCAGGTAGGCAGTGTGAAAGAGCTGCAGATTCTTGCGCAAGAATGGCCATACTTGCGCAAGAAGCCACGACTGTAGACATAGCCCAAATGTCTAGGCACCTCAATCATGCCTAAGCCCCATCAAGATTCACAAATTGCCACTTGGGCTGGATACAGTGTGTGGGCTCTAGACATGCCTAAATCCACATAAAACAGCCAGAGATTGTGGTGCTTGTGCTTCTCTCTTTCTATGTCCCCCATCCTTTTATAACTTCTAGCCCACAGGTTAGAACATTCACATGGGAGGTGAGAGATCCAGGTTCCACTGGTGATACTTAGATCACATTTCTCCTCTCAGCATTTCCTTCTGGCTAGTTTGGGGGGAGGAGGGAATCCCTGCTCAGAATTTTGGGCTTTTATGATTCCTGTTCTTAGGCACTTCATTCTCTCCTTGGCTGTGTCCAGACTCCATGCCTCCGTCGACGGAGTCATGTAGATTAGCCAGCTCGGAAGAGGGAAATGAAGCCGCGATTAAAATAATCGCGGCTTCATTTAAATTTAAATGGCTGCCCCGATCTGCATCGACACAGGTAAACCTGGTTTCACGAGGCTTACCTGTGTCGATGAAGAAAGGCTTCTTTGTCGGGGCATCGCGTCCAGACTCTCCCGATCTGCCGACAAACAGCTGATCGGCAGATCGGGGCAGCCATTTAAATTTAAATGAAGCCGCGATTATTTTAATCGCGGCTTCATTTCCCTCTTCCGAGCTGGCTAATCTACATGCCTCCGTCGACGGAGGCATGGAGTCTGGACACAGCCCTGGTGTTGTACAGGAGCCTAACACTTTCCTCAAGGTGTAGAGTGTTGTAATTTCTAAGTACCCCTTGTGAATCCCAGTCTAACCTCCTCTGATCTCAGTGTGAGTTTGTTAGTTAGTGGTTTTGAAATTTCTACTGGGAGCCTTGGTGCTTAACTCAGTCTTGTGTATCATATTGCTGTTCCTGTGATTTTCTATATAAATAAAAGTGAGGCACTATATAAATAATAGTGGGGAGGAGGGATACCTCAGTGGATTGAGTATTGGTCTGCAAAACCCAGGGTTGTGAGCTCAATGCTTGAAGAGGCCATTTAGGGATGTGGGGCAAAATCTGTCAGGGATGGTACTTGGTCCTGCTGTGGAGGCAGGGGACTGGACTCAATGACCTTTCAAAGTCCTTTCTAGCTCTAGGAGATAGGCATCTCCATTCACTTTAAAATTTAGATGCTCAATCTCACAATGCCCAAATCCCTTATAGATCTGGGTCTAAGTGCCCATGTACATCTTTAGGTGCCTACAAATATCTTTAAGAATGTGGCTCATAGGACCTAATCCAAATCCATTAAAGTGAATGAAAATATTCCTACAGACTTCCTTTGGATCAGCCCTTTAGTGCAATCAGTTCTCCAAACTGAATGAATATAATATCAGAGATAAAATTAGTATTGTTATATTTTGTCCCTGATCCTTTAGTCTGGCAAAATATCCATTCACTTCAATGGCAGTTTTCTTTGCCTAATACAGAGGTGAGCAATAAAACAGTGGTGGTTAGGCAAAGTTAGCCCCTGGGAGTTGTTGGAAGTGGCACAGACTGGGACACCACATTCTGTAGCTCCCATTGGCTGGGAACGGCGATCTGCAGCCAACAGGAGCTGCAATTGTCTGTACCTGTGGAGGTGTAGGTAAATATAGCAGCAGCACCTGTCAGGGGCTAAATCTGATGGACTGGATCCAGCCCATGAGCCAGTATTTGTCCACCCTTAGCCTAATGATTAAAGAAAAACAATCTACTATATTACAGAAAAAAATGTTTTAAAAGTAGATTAGTAGTTACAGTTCAGAATTAAAATATTAGTGCTGAAATAAGACTGGATTCTTTCAAGACTTACAGAAAAATATATCTAATGCTTTAAGTTTTTATTGGGGCTGAAAGAAAGGCCAATTTTTATCATTGCATTTTAAAATTTCAGGTTTCATGTGTGCAAAATTTCACATTTTAGTGACATTTGCTATTTGGGATTTTCATGTCAAAATGTGTAGAATCTAAAAATTTCACAGTGGGACTGGACTTTGACCATATGACATTTTGAATGCCAAAATTCTAAATTTTACTAATCTGGAAGTTTTGTTTAAAAATACGAGTTCTATTTTCATAATTAAAAATGACCTATTTTTTTCTGAGAAAAGTCTGATTGTTGGAAGCAAAATCTCAATACTGAGCAGTGAGAACATTTTCAAAGGATTACAATGAAGGTAAATTATCCCTTACCCCCATACAGAGGTTATTTTAATATATTATTTTAAAATTTTTATTTAAAAATATTTATTTTAATTTTTTAAAAATATTTGTTTAAAAATTTTGCAGTTCCTAAGGGCTTAATCTTGGTATCCTGGTAAATAAGCCTCATTCATCTAAGAAGCTGCATTGATTTCACTGCATAATGGAGCCCCACCATTTCTAAACTGTTAGTTGCTGTAGTAGAAACAACATTCTTAAAAAAAAAAAAGAGTGCAGTTGTGTAACATAAACATGAGGCGATAGTCATACATGGCAGTTCTCCACTAAAACACTGCTTCATAAAAGTGGGGTTCCATATTCTGTGAGTGTCATTGATTTCCATATCAAAGTGATTTCATCAGCAAGTGAAATTGGGTCAGGTCATGAACCCTTGATCCAACTCCATTAGGCCACTGGAACAGTGCAAGGGATGGAAAACTACCAAGCCAGACACCTGAATGGAGACTGGCTTTGCAGTCCCCTGGATATAGGTAGCACACCTAGATCATAGTGAAGTGCACTCAAATTAATTTTGAAAGCCACACTGCCATTTTTACAGAATTACCTTTCAGCACAGAATTGCATTTTAAAGCAAGGTTACAACTGTAGTGTCCATATTTTGACATATATACTGATAAATAGCTGAATCACATGAAATAATGGTTGGTACTCTCAATGACCCTTGCCATCTCTTGGGGTATGTCTACACTGCAAAGTTTTTCTGGAAAAACACCTGTTTTTCCAGAAAAACTACACTTATGTCCACACCGCTATTACATTCTTTTGACAGAAAGTCAAATGGAGGGGTATTTCCAACAGTGATAAATCTCTTTCTGTGAGGAAGAAGCCTTTTTCCAAAAAAGCTTTTTCAGAAAAAGGTGTGTGGATGCAGAAGAGAATGGTTTTTTGAAAGAAGAGGCCTCTAGGAAAAAAGCCACTCTGTCCACAGTAATTGCAATTGAAATGTGAGATAGCATCCAATCAATGTGGACACTATCTTTTGAAAAAGCAGATCGCTTTTTGGTTGTGCTTTTGCTGTGTAGATGCTTTCTTTTGAAAAAGTTTTTCTGGAAGATCGCTTCCGGAAAAGCTTCTTCTGAAAGAAGCTTGCAGCCTAGATGTAGTCTTGTAAAAAAATTTGAACCAAGGTGAATTAGTGCAGTTCCCACCAAACTAAATTACCTTATTCTACTTCTCTTGGAATCCTATTAAACAGGTTCTATTAATAGTTTTCAGATTGAGGAAATGTGAACATTTTTTAATCTGAAGGCAATTTCAATCAGGATTTCTATAAAAAATACTTCATTATTAAGGATTTATAAACACACGGAATAGAGAAAAGCAATGTATTAGCCCATGGCTTCGTCTACACAGCTTCCCTCTTCTGCAAAAACCTATGCAAATGAAGCGCATATTTGCATATTGCCACGCGTTATTTGCATAATTAATTAGGAGCTGTTTTGTGAGAGGTTTTTGCGCAAGAGCCATTCTTCCTGAAAAAATGAGGAAGAACGGCTCTTGCACAAGAGGGGGTTTTTGCACAAAAAGGCGCCGTGTAGATGGCACCTTTTTGTGCAAAAACATATTGCGTAAAAAAAGGCTCCTAATTAATTATGCAAATGAAGTTCAACAATATGCTAATCCACACTTCATTTGCATAGGCTTTTGCAGAAGAGGGAAGCTGTGTAGACATAACTTATGTTATGTACCTCCTGTGGGCCAGATATTTTGTTTGAGTAGGAACCCCCAGTTTTGTCATTTTATTATTGAAGATTATCTTTATTTAGGATTTCATATGCTGCACCTACAGTACTTGCAGGAAGTGCCAAAACATCTGATTTGGGTGCCCTGAAAAAATGTGTTTGGTCAAAAGAAATCCTGCTTGCCTTACTTGCATGAATAAGGTGAGTAGGATTTTGACTCATTGGCTAAAAATTTAACAAAGCCTTACTAGTAAGTTTCATAATACATGGCAGCAGTGAAGGTTGTCATTGCGAATACAATCTTCTGACTCATCCCACTGTTGGAACTATTCTACAGAACATATTTAACATATACATGTACCATATAAAGGTATAGGATCTGATTTCCGCATTGCCCTGTGTAACCCACTGGTGACTGTGTTACAGGTTCCTCTCTCTGCCAGTTTCAAAGGATACAAGTTGTTACAACCCTTACAGATAGGTGCTTAGATCTTTATCTCATGAGTAGCAGCCATTGTATTTATCTCTGGAGATCCTGGTGTGCTGGCCATTACAGCATCTGTTGCACTTGTGCCTTATATCATCATTTACATTTATGTCAAGTGCAATAACTGTGATGGTGGCAATAATACATAACTCTTTTATGTACTTTTCATCAATAGATCTTATGGTGCTTCATACAGAAGGTCAGTTGTATATTCATTTTGCACTGGCATGGATATAAATGTACAAGGTAATGGAGAATCAGGCTCATAATTTGCAACTGTGATCAGGTAAAAATGTATGGTGTGCGTGTATGCACACACACACACACATGGAGATTTCTAAGATTTCTTTTGCTTTATATTTTAAACAGATAAATTAATTATTCTGTGAAATCTAGCTTCTCCACAGAATGCCAAGGACTAATTTATATCAATATTTTTGCAAGAACTTTTTATCATTCACAACCAAAGAAAAGAAATGTATCATTAAACTTGATTTAACATATTTATACCATAATATTAATGCCAGCTGAGCATTATTTCAATCAGACAAAGCTCTGAAAATAAAAAAGTGACAAAATATTTGCTTTCCAAAATGGGCCAAACTAATTAAAATTTACACACCTCCATAATTTTGGAGTTGTTTGGGTCAAGATCCTGAACTGATCTTTGTGTCTTGACTTGCATTGTAATTTGAAACCCAGCAGGATGTTTTAGTTTCAGGGGAATTACATTAAATTTTCAGGTTCTTTCAGACACAAAGCTCAGTGTAAGTCCACAAGAAACAAACATGAAAAAGGAAGGTTAATATGAACATTTCAATACATTTAATAAATTAATTTTTTTAATTTTGAAAGAAATAATGAATTTCTAATTTTTTTCTTTACTTCTTTTCTCAAGTGTAGTAGATGGATTTGATCTGGATTTATGCTGGTCAGAATAAGACCAGAATTTGCTTCTTAATCATATACTTATTTGTTAGTTCTTGGCTTAGAACCTCATACAGAAGTCTATTTCCATCCATAAAATGCCCAATGGGCAGTCTCTGTTTGGAAAGACTCATGGCTTAACCTCAGGGTCTTAGGGTATAATCCATGATGGTATGTAGGCACCTACATCCCATTTTTAGGTACCACTGCTATCCACCTTACTGGTAGGTGCCCATGTTTTTGTCACTGGACATGTGCCCTGCATCTTCACTGTAAGCCTTCAGGGGCCTATTTCCTGTCTAAGCCCCAGAGTAATTCACCAGGAAAGATTAGTGTATGTCTACACTACAGAGTTTAGTTGGAAAAATGGCCATTTTTCTGACAAAACCTGAATTACGTCCACACTGCAATTGCATTCGTCCGAAAGTAAATCGAAAGAACAGAGGGTTTTTTCCAGCATTGTTAATCCTCTTTCTACAAGGAAGAAGCCTTTTTCTGAAAGAGCTCTTTCAGAAAAAGGCATGTGTGGACGGGGAACGGGGAGTACTTTCAAAAGAAGAGGCAAGAGGAAAAAGCACAGGTGCCTTGGTGGCCATTCCGTCCATAGTAATCATACCTTAAATGCGAGATAGTGTCCATTCAGTGTGGACACTATCTTTCGAAAAAGCAGATCACTTTTTCAATGTACTTTTGTGTGTAGACGCTCTCTTTTGGAAGAAGTTTTTTTTTTTTGGAAAATCTCTTCCAAAAAAAGGTTCTTCCGAAAGAAGCCTGCAGTCTAGACATAGCCTAGGTGTTATTGCCACTAAGTCACATGCAGGAGCTTGATCCCACAGGCATACTCAGATGCTGTCTATTAGATTGGACTTCTCATGGAACCCTATACCAAACAGCAGCCGAGAATCCTCCTTTATCCTACTCCAGAGAGTGCCCCAACCACTAGGCCACAGAGTCATTCCAGCTCTTTCACTGGCCCAATTAATATTTAATTATTCAATTATTTAATTAAGTGCAACTACTTCAACAGAAAAGACTGAAGGAGCCCTAAATCAAATATCTCATAGCCTAGTGATCAGGGAAATCACTTGAGAGGTGGGAGATTCCTATGCAATTTTTTTCTTTCTTAGGGTGTGGGTAGGCCTTGAGCCAGGAGTCACTTGGGTGAGTATCTTGTTCACTATGCTGAAAGTTATAAGTGAAAGTTGTTTGGTCCTACATGCCACTTGGGCAGCCAAATACCTTTGTTCCCTCATGAATTGAAATCAGAGCTAGATGCTTTCTAGAAGTCCAAACTAAGTTAATAGAGGGAGGTGGGACTTTGTAGCTGGCATCTCCTATTGGTTAACTTAGGAGACTCCCTGATTAATTTGTTGGCTTTGCAAATTGTGGCACACAGTACCTCTTTGGCTGCATTTTTATATTGGAGCCTCGTGCTCTGATTCCATAGCTGATAACATATAAATAGCTGTGAATTCATGGCAAGGGCTGTTTGACCTTATTTAACGCAGGAGAAGTAATTAGAAGAAATAATGTCAACATTCTGTTCAACTTATTGTTAATCCAGTGCATGGTTCAGAGTACTAATTTCTCAGGAGGTGCACAGAATCAACGTTTCATTCCTGAAGAACTGCTAAGATTCACAGAAGAGGGAGAAAAAGAGCCATAGAAGCTTGAAGTTGTGGAAGTTTTGGGTTAGGAGATTAGTGGGTCAGGAAATTGAAAATGAATTTTCATAATAAGTTTTATGCACCTGCACATAATATTATCCATGACATTCAAAAATTCCTGAGCTGAGTGTATAAAAGTTTCCACATAAATTAGTAGTTGAAATTTAAAACTACATTCACAAATGCATAAGAATGCCAGAGTCATTGAAAACTTTATGCATGGGTCTTTGTGTTTTCAATGCAAATGCATTTTCTATTTTCCTCAGCTCCCTGGGCCTCCAAACTTCTGTTTCTCCAAGATCATCTGGCTCCAGGTCTCCCAGCGTTCATCCCTCCTGTAACTGGAAACCATACAGCTAACTCCTCAGAAACTCTTTCAGGGTATGTCTACACTACCCCGCTAGTTCAAACTAACGGGGTAATGTAGGCATACCGCAATTGCAAATGAAGCCCGGGATTTGAATTTCCCGGGCTTCATTTGCATAATCCGGGTGCCACCATTTTTAAATCCCGGCTGGTTCGAACCCCGTGCCGCGCGGCTACATGCAGCAAGAACTAGGTAGTTCGAACTAGGCTCCCTAGTTCGAACTACCGTTACTCCTCATTCCACGAGGAGTAACGGTAGTTCGAACTAGGAAGCCTAGTTTGAACTACCTAGTTCGTGCCCCGTGTAGCCGCGCAGCACAGGGTTCGAACCAGCCGGGATTTAAAAATGGCGGCACCCGGCTTATGCAAATGAAGCCCGGGAAATTCAAATCCTGGGCTTCATTTGCAATTGCGGTATGCCTACATTACCCTCCTATTTCGAAATAGGAGGGTAGTGTAGACATACCCTCAGTGATTAGGAGAGACAAGCTCAGGAGAATGGGAAGAAAGGCCTATGGAAAATTCTTTGAGGTGGAAGAGAATTTGTATAATATAAAAAGTTAAATGTCCTGATTAATTTCCCATTTACTTCAATTTTACACTGGTGTAACTCCATAGATACCAATGGCATTACTACTGACTTGTACCAGTATCAGTAGCCCCTCTAACCTGTACTGACATTGGACAATGAGAGTACTACACATGTCAAAGGTTGTAACAGAAATTGCATGATATAATACTGCATTATCTGAGAAATAGCATTTCATATCTTTCAAGACCATATTGTAATACATGTGACCAAAAGTGGCAGAATTAAGGTTACAGATGCAATTTTAACTAGGTCATTTCCTGGCTTGTAAATGTTTATAGAACACTTCCATTAAGAACTAAGATGTAAGCTAACACTCTAGGAGAAAAGTATTACTTGACATAAATACAAGTGAGAACATTGCACCCTTACTGATTTCGTAGTATCATTTTAAATGAAATTTATAACATCTCTTATAAGTTGTAAGAAGTAATGATAACTTAAACAGCAATGCAACAATCCCTCTTCAGATATATCACAGAATATTGATTCATTCTCAATCCTACCTTCACTTGCATGACGGTCCCTAAAAGCGTTTTTGGGATGGACGTTAAATCCTTCTATATCATGCACTGAAGATGCTCTTCTTATACTACAAATGCTTTCCTTTGATCTGGAATGAGTTAGTGGTGTACTCGTCTGCAGTGTATCTGGGTATAGTCGGTCCCATTGCCGTTTAGGTGATGAATGGTCAAGAGGTCCTGATATATTAACCAAAGGAGAACATTTGCTGGGCTGTATCAGTGCTTTTGTGTCATCCACTTCAGAAGGGCTGCAGCTTTCTTTTGTGGGGGATTTAAAGCGCTTCATAGCCACTGAGTCATCACTGTGCTTAGATGAATCGACTACAACTGCATCAGGGTCTTCCTGCGGTAAGGACTGCTTTCTGTATGTTAAGAGTCTTAATCCAGGTAACTTGAATCCGAAAAGTCTGCCTAGATACAAATTAAATAAAAAATATAAATTACTAAAATGAATTGCTTGCGATAAAAAAATCTTTGCTCTTTTACAATGCCAGTTTGGTATACAGAAGCACCTTTCATAAGTAATATGTTAACAGAAATCTAATAGCGTATGCTGATTAGCAACAGAATGCATAACTAAGAAATATTATATACAAGTAATATTGCTTTAGTTATCTTTGGTTTATGCCTTAGTTAAACAAAAGTTTTGGAAAACTTCGTGGCAGACGATATCCTATGTTTCAGAAGAGGTCAGACTAGTTTACTTAATGGTTTCTTCTGTCTTGAAAAATCTATGAATCCATGAAAGTCATAAAATAATATGTAACTGTCACATTACTAGGCAACCATGTTCTTAACTACTTAGTTGTGTTTTTTTGTTGTCAGTTAAACTTCATACACTTAAAAATGAACCTTTGCTATTTCACTGAAATCCATTTATTTATTCTATAATTTAAATAAGAATGTACACACCCTATTTCTCCAAACAGGGAAACTAAAGTTGAGTTTAAATTTTACCATCATCCCAGTCCAACAGAACCATATTCCATATTTGTACATTTAAATTGTATAATTTGTCTCTAGACATTTACAAACAGAAAGGAAAATAACCACATTTTACCCTCACTTACATCCATGCAACATAAATCCTTTCAGTTCATTTGCACATAAGTAAGCATAACACATTGCATCTCACGGTGGCCTATATAATGATGAATTGATGAGGATGCACCACAATAAGAAGTACATATAGCGGAGGAAGTACACAAAATGGAGTAATTAAAGAAAATGTGGAGAAGGGGTGGGAATGGGAACTGCAAAAAGAAACCAAACAGCAAATCCTTCAAGTATAATGTATCCCAACTAGTAAATGGCAACACTAATGCTTTTGACATACAGAGAACACAGTAACAGAAATTACATAGAAGCTAGTTGAATAATGTAAAAACCCTCATCAAATAATTTAAATGATGAAAAATGCCACATTTAATTGAATAAGCATTGTGATTAATATTTATTTTAGGATTTTCTATGACCATCTATCACACAACATTTGAGTGCCTCCTCGATTAAATCAATAGTGATAGTGAAATCCCTAGTGGGTGTCCTGGAGTCTCTAAGGGTTATTTTGAGGGAAGGGTTTTCTCTTGAAATAATCCCACAGGGACTGAGTTTTTATGTCCTGAAATAGCGCTACTGCGGAAAAGCGGAAGTCCGCTATTATGCAAATGAAGTATGGGATATTTAAATCCCCACTTCATTTGTAATTTTGGATGTCTACATTTGCATTCTTCCCTCGAAGGAAGAATCAAGTGTAGACATACCTAACACTTCTCCCTATAGGTGGGAAATACTCCTTATGGGATTGGATTTGGTTTTTGGTTGTTTGCAGGCAGTTTTGATTAGTAGTGTTTGTTGCTAGTTAATGTTCATGAATCTGTAACACTGAGATTAAACTGCTCATGCTTTGACTCATCAAAAGACAGAATACTGAAATGTTTTGAAATAGTATGTCTTTCAGGGAAGCATATGCACAATAGCTAATGCATAGCAAATGATAGCACAGCTTAGCCTATTTAAATTTGAAAACGAAAGTACTAGACTGTCAGTATGTAACTTCTGAATTTAATACTAAATAAATGTATGTGAGATTTACATACTGTACTCCATAGGAAACCTCCATTCATATTCAGTGTAATGTACACATAAAAATCTCCATTACATAAATCAAGAGAGAAATGTGAGGTGGACAACCGCTGGAGACGCTAGTTTTCAATCTGTGCAATCAGGATTCAATAACAGTACATCTTGGGAGCTGTTCTGAAAACTTTTTATCTATTTCCCCTAACAAACTATGAATACTTGAGTAAATTGCCCACAGTTGTAAATTAGTGAAGTACATAAAAATCATTTTATAGGTTTTTTTAATGCCCATGAAATTGAGTTACAAAGCAGTTTATAAATCACTTTTGCAGGCTTATTACATTGAGGGTCAAATAATTACTATAATACTTCTTTCATCAATTACATTGTACTGCTTTAAAATACCATTCATAAGATTTTCTTGCATTAGATACTGTTAAAGGCTTTTTGCTGGCATGTTCTCTTTTAGTCATATTCATGGTGGTGCAGATGTTTTTTTCTGCTTCACTGGGTTAATATGACCATGTTAGACTGCATTACTGATTTAGCTGTCTAGCTGTAGTTCAGCTGGAAAGAATACATAGTGAGAATTTTGCTCATTGTTAAGACTTTCAGGCATGAAATAGAAAATACATATGACTATCTCTTTCCTATTCTTCTTTAAACTGAAATAAATTCTTTAAAAGTTAAAGCCCCCATTTTCTGCTTTTTAACCTGAATATCGTTTAAAATGTGAGGATTGTGGTTTATGTTCAAAGTAAGGACAACGAGCCTTATAATGTGCTGAGTATTTGTCAGATCCCTTCTGCGGTATTGTAGCTGAGGCTTGCAAAATGCCCATCTACAATTTGTCTGAGTTGCACAGTACATTCTCACTTAGTGCAATAATATAACATAGCCTGAAGCAAACATTCATGGCCCCAGGCTAAAAGTCCCAATGTCGACAAAAGTGTCAATGGGAGTTTTCCGTACATAAAGACTACAGGGATCTGGTGCATTTTTTAAAATCTGTTTTAGAAATATATGCTCACTGAGGTAATTTTGCTTAGGCTATGTCTACATTGGCATTTTCATCAGTAAAACTTTAGTTGGTCAGGCACATGAACATCCCCATTCCCAGACCAAAACTTTCACTGACAGAAGTGCCAATGTGAATATAAAAGATCTCGGTAACCTTTTTCCTCCAAACCTCATTCCCCAGAGGCTCCTACAACAGGACTGCAGGGGGAGCATGAGAACTGAATCACTGTAACCCAGACTGTCCCCTCCTTTCCTAGTAAGGCAGTCAGGCTTTCTATCACAGTACAATCTCCTCTGATGCTGTATATCCTGCCTTTATGAATGATCTCCCCTTAGTGCTTGTGTAATTTCATCAAAGGCTGCTCCTGGCTTCAGCCTAGGAGATCTTTGTGTAACTCTCCAATGTACGATGGTGAAAATTTTTCATGCTTTCTAAGCTTTTGAACACCAATCCTTAACAGTCAACTGGGTGCTTGGAATGGGCTGAATAATTATTGTTGAGGAATCTTTTTTTCATTAAAGGAAAAGATGGACTCCAGTTGAACATGGACTATCTTCCATAGTCCTGTGTTGAAGCTTCATGAAAAAAGCTCTGACAGTTAGTGGAGAGCCCTAACTTAGCTTGTTTCTACCTTGGAAAATTTTCATATATGCCTAAGAAGCAGTTATCACAGAGAGAGTCAGTATAGCACTGTATTCAGATCTGGAAAGGCTGAACTTCCAGTTATCGGACCTGACATGGGTGTGGTTAAAATAGTTTTTCAGTTGTGATTTTGTGCAAAAGGTAAAGTGGGCTAAGAGAGACACAACATAGCCTTCCTTTGGTAGGAAACTATAGAGGGCAAACAGTCATAGGCCTCAGGTGGGGTATTGAATGGAAAAATGTAGAGGCATCTGGAAAAGTTCTCTTTTCATGTCACTAATGTGATGGTGTTAATGCCATGATTTAAAACTACAACTCCTACATAATTGTATGGCTTTCCAGGTGTTTCTTCTGGGTAGAGTTAAAGAGGCAAGTGACTGTAAAGTAGACATTTCAGCAAAAAATGATCTGAACAAGAGTTTCCATGGTAACCCTATGCTTCTAAGTTACAAGAAATTCCTAAGCCTGGCCTACATTTACAGTTCCATATCAATGGAAGATAATGGTGTTTGGCCTGAAAACTGCCCCAAGGGTCTTTACTGTGCGGTTGGCATCAGTTATACATCTCCCAAATTCTCCAGAATTCACGCAGAGCATATTTGCTTACACAACATCTTCATTGCAGCAGAGTCAGAGATGCGCCTAAGGCTGAATATCTCAATTTCAGTACACTTGCTGAAGGCACTGGGATTTCCGGTAAATGCAGAAAGCTCTACTTTAATTCATACTCTTTCTTTAGTATTTCTCAGTACATAGTGGATTCCAGGTCTCTTACCTTAACATTACCTTCTCCAAACTGGCCAATGGTAGCTCCAAGAGCTGAGGCTCTTGCTGTGCCCATGGGCCAGATCTGGCTGCTTGGTAGGCTGGATCCAGCCTGCGGGCCATATTTTGCCCACCCCTGTACTAGACAGATACCTCAAAGGAGCCAAAATGCCTCCTTTGCACAACGGAGAGTCAAATATGAGAGTTGTCAGAGTTTTTAATTAGCACAAGCCATAGCTTCTTCCAGCTAGAGAGACCTAAAACCCTGCTGCAGATACCCATGGGGTCCTGATATCCATGTGTTGTCAGGTAACAATAGTATGGCAACCAAACTTCTGCAAAGTAGATCAGAATGAATAACTAGTCTATCTGCATAGCTTTGGGATGTTATGTCAGAACAAAGAAAACAGCTTGGCTGGCTTTTGTGTAATCACAGTAACTGCCTCCTTGTAAGCAGACAGATAGGATTCCTAGACAAAGGATGTGAAACTATGTGTACTGTATTATCCACAGCTGGATCTGTTCACCAGCTCTTACAATCACAACAATTCAAAATTCGTACTATTTTCCAGTACTTCAGTAAGTACCAATGTAAGTAAGTAAGTAATGTAAGTACCAATGTAAGTAATGGTCAGGCTAGAGAGTCCCCTGACAGACATCCCACACTTACTGTCCAGACCATGGATTTACTCAATAATGCAGGTCTTCTCAGACTTTCCCTGAAACTGAGCCGAGTGACCTATTTGTAGGAGCAGCAAAGGGACTGCTCTTTGGTGACAGACTGATGATTGCATGTTATCAAAAATGCAGAGGCAGGCTATTGCTGAATTCCAGCTTTCAGGCTGGAGGAAAACATCTAACCACTTGTACAACAAAGTGTACAGAGGTTTTGTTATGTGGGTCTCATCAGACTCAGAATCAAGAGGAACTAATTTCTTTTCAGGAAGAAAATCTCTAAACATTGAGTCCTGGCCCAAGTAATAGCAGATGTTCAAATGCACTTGTGTGCCTTTGGTTTCCCTGGGATTATCAGACCAAGGAATAATGCATCATAGCTATGATCACCAATATGGTTGTTCCACCTCTTTTTATACATGCTCTCAAATATAGAAGCATATACACGTGAGTCATTTTCTTGCCCCTCCCCCAATCATCTCATCTGCTTGCTTTGTTGTTCTCTTCTTCTTTACAGAAAGAGGAAAGCATCTCCAGGTGCCAAAGTGGGAGCTGGAGCAAGATAAAGGAGCCCCTAACTGTCACTAGTTCTCAGCTACCTCCTCTGAGTATTTCTTCATCCATTGTAACTCAGTAACATGGACTTTTAGTTCTGGTATTTCAGTTACTCTACTTCCCATTTTATGGAAAAGTTTAACTTTTATTTCACTTTAAATTCTTCTGCAGCACCCACGTTTCTGGGACAATCATTTCGGGTATGTCTACACTATAGCGCTAATTCGAACTAACTCATCCAGACTAAAAAACTAGTTCAAATTAGCGTTTTTCTAATTTGAACTAGCATGTCCACACTGAGTGGACCCTGAACCGGGGTTAAGGATGGCCGGAAGCAGTGCCAGCAGGGCATCAGAGTAGGACTTAGAGCGTGGACCTGCTGTCTCAGCCTAGCCAAGGGCTGTGCTTAAAGGGACCCGACCCCCACCCCGGACAGACAGTTCTCAGGGGTGCCCCGCTTGCAAAGCAGTCCTGGCTTGGATTGCCTGGAGTACCCACACTGGGCACATCACAGCACTTGGCCATCAGACCGGCTGCACTTGCCGCAGGCTGCCATCTGGGGAGAGGGGGCAATTGGGGGGCTGCAAGAGAGCTTCCACCCCCAGAAGCCCGCAGAGCCAGCCCAGTCCTCCCCATCGGGGGCTCATACCCCATTCCTCCCTCACCTCCTTCCACTTACCCCTCCCTAGCCCCCCTTCCTGATGTACAAAATAAAGGACAATTGTGTTCAAAAATAGAATCTCTATTGAACAAAACTGGGGGAGACTGGGAAAAGGAGGTGGGAGAGGGGAAGAGAGAGGGTGGGAGAGGGGAGGGCAACTACAATGATGAGGGGTTTGGAACAGGTCCCATATGAAGAGAGGCTAAAGAGACTGGGACTTTTCAGCTTAGAAAAGAGGAGATGGAGGGGGGACAGGACAGAGGTCTATAAAAGCATGAGTGGGGTGGAGAGGGTGCATACAGAAAAGTTCTTCATTAATTCCCGTAAAGAAGGACTAGAGGACACCAAAGGAAAGGAATGGGTAGCAGGCTTCAAACTAGTAACAGAAAGTTATTCTTCACAAAGCAAAGAGTCAACCTGTGGAACTCCTTGCTGCAGGAGGCTGTGAAGGCTAGAACTAGAACAGAGTTTAAAGAGAAGTGAGATAAAGTGATGGAGGTTGGGTCCATGGAGTGCTATTAGCCAGGGGGTAGGAGTGGTGTCCCTGCCCAAGGTTTGTGGAAGGCTGGAGAGGGATGGCACGATACAAATGGCTTGGTCACTGTCTTCGGTCCATCCCCTCCAGGGTCCCTAGGGTTGGCCACTGTCGGCAGACAGGCTACTGGGCTAGATGGACCTTTGGTCTGACCCAGGACGGCCATTGTAAGCTCAGGGCTCAGGATCGGGGGTCTCAGTGGACCCCCTTGATTCTCTTGCACACCTGCTCCGGGGTGGCCAGGCTGGCAGCTCCCCTGCCCCCGCCTCTTGCGGTCCTGGGCAAGCTCCCGGGAGCCGCCAGCCTGGTCCCGGGAAGAGGGGGAGGGCTGGGGGGCATTGGGTGGCTGGATCGAGCCATGCCAGGTGCAGGGTCTGCTAGCTGGGTGCTGGCAGGCTTGCACCTGGCACGGGCATCGTAGCCAGCCTGTGCCCCTTTAAGGGGTCCGGGGCCGGGAGGGGGGCAATAGAGTTTCCCTGGTGTTGGCCAGAGTGGCCACCAGGGAAAGCTGGGGAGGGCTAGCCTCCCACTAGTTCAAATTAAGGGGCTACACACCCCTTAATTCGAACTAGTAAGTTCGAAATAGGCTTAGTCCTCGTACAATGAGGTTTACCTAGTTCGAACTAAGCACTCCGCTAGTTCGAATTAAGTTTGAACTGGCGGAGCGCTAGTATAGCGCCTATCAAAGTTAATTCAAACTAACGTTCGTTAGTTCGAATTAACTTTGTAGTGTAGACATACCCTGCTTTGTTTATTCCTCCTTTTATGTTGGAATGTTATTTTATCTCTCTGGTTGTCTGAACACATTGACAATATGTTTATTTTATCTCTTACCTATCTATCCGGATTTTATTACATAGTTCCTTTTTGCTTATATTAAAAGTCTAGGCATATTAGAGGTTTTTGTTCTGTTTTGTTATATCTGGTTCAAAATCAATGAAAAGGAAAGTAAGCCATGTTTATAGGAGACTCCAATTATAGTAGGTGTCAACTTTTGCTCCATCTATCTCATGTCATTTAAAGTTTAAGGCAGAAAAGAATGTGTTTTATTCCCTTAAACCAAAAATATTGTTTCTTATGGTAATCTTTTTTGTCACATAGTAATTTAAAAAATGAACACATTTATTTGTAAATAATTATTCAAAAAAATGTCAATCAATCACAATAAATAAATATGATATACAATGAATTATTCAGCCAGTATTATCCATGTCTTCTGCCACAAAATATAATAGTCTTGAAATCTGAGAAAGAATGTATCCTATTCATCATTTTGGACTGGCAAGAAGTTGCCAGCCTTTATCATTACTAGATCACCAGACTTTATCAAGTAGATAGCATTTGTTGCAAGATCAGGAAGTGGAAACCCGAGAAGAAGTCATATTCCAAACACTAATTCATACAGCTGGTCAGCTTTCCATCATATAGTTTATTTCATCTTTAGGTAAATAGATTTCGTATACTCGGTGTATTCAGGACTTACAGTCAGAATAAGCTGAAAACCTTCACTGCAATTGGGCTTTATCTTCATATAGGTTAACTTAGATTTAACAATTCAGGGTACATCTACACAGCAGGCCTAAAGTCAAATTAAGCTATGCAACTTCAGCTACGTCAACTGCGTAGCTTATTTCAAAACATCTTAACTTGGCTTTTTGCTCTATCTACACAGCAGGAAGTCGAAGGAAGAACACTTTTTATTTGACTTCCCTTACTCCTTGTGAAATGAGGTTTACCATGAGTCAGAGTGAGAAGTTCTCCAGCTTGACATTATTTTGAAATAAAGGCTTCTAGTGTAGATGTGCATTATATTATTTTGGAATAATGTTAATTATTCCGAAATAACACTGCTGTATAGACATACTCTCAAGTGTTATAGTTACAGTTTTGCAGAAAAGATTATTCAGAGCGCTATGGCATGAGCTGAGCTGCTCTCTGACAGAGTAATGTAAAACTCAGAAATAATAGACACAGAAGACAAGAAGCAAGAGGATAACAACAGATTGATTTACCTGAAGAAGAGCCACTTGAAAGGTTGTTGCCATCTGAAATACAATTAAACTAGATTTACAGACAGCATTAGATTTTTTAAAAACCTATTAAGAAAATAAACATTTAACAGGTGCTTTAAAAATATGAGTACTGAGATTGTTTACAGAGGAAAACAAGGGAGAATATAACTTTTCTGTACATTGTCTAAGCAAATTATTATAATAGATTGTATATGTGAATTGCAAAAGAACTGTTCTGAAACATAATTTTTTCTCTTTGCAAAATTTCAGAACTGCTCAGCTTGTTGCATAAAATAGGGTCAATTTCCTATTTAAGAAGTTAATTAATAGAATGGCTCTGGTATAAAATTGAAATAAATGAGATCACAGTTGAGCTCATATTCGGTAAAATTGAGCTATTTATATTCATTTACTGACCTTCATCAAGCACTTTAAGAACTCTAAGTGAAAAAGTGCAATGGACATACTATTTATGATTGTTATTCAATTTTAAAGAGAGGAAAGATTGGATGCTGAAAATCTGAGTGTTTTGTTTGGCATCTTCATGGGGTAGGCAGTAAGGCTTTGCCTTCTGGGTTTGACACGTATTTAACATGTAACTTTGGAAACGTCACATAACCTCTTTGTATCTGTAGAAGTGCTTGAGATCTGCAGATTGAATGACCAAGAGGTGAGGAACTTCTAACATGTGTATACAAAGTTGGGAAACAATTCTAGAATTACAACTTGGAAAACTAAGAAGTGATTATAATAACCCTTGTTTAATTAAGTAGTACATTTATTTAATTTAAAATCAGACCTGTCCAGCAGTCTGGGACTGTGTAAAAAATAAATAATCATAAAATTGTAGGACTGGAAGGGCCCTTGAGATGTCTTCTGGTTTAACCCTGTGCACTCAAGCATTATCTAGACCAGAGGTAGCCAAACTCTTTGAGGGTATGTCTATACTAAAAAGAATAGTGTAGTTATTTCGAAATAATGTGTTTAAACACAAAATGCATTTCAAAATAGCATTTTGCTGTTTTGAAATAGCTCATCCACACTGATAGGACGCTGAATCGCATTTAAGGCCGCTGGAAATGGTCCTGGCAGGGCATCAGGTCAGGTGTTACCTTGTGTGGCTGCTGCCTGAGGCTATCTGAGACCTGTGTTTAAAGGGATCCCCACCCCTCGACAGCCAGCTCTCAAGTTTCCCTGCTTGCTTGCTTACCTCGCTGAGGGACAGCAAAGCATTTGTTTCTCTGCGTGCTCTGGTTGCCCTCACTCAGGACACCACAGCAGTCTGAAGCATGGAGCCGAAGCCACCTCTGGACACTGGTACTTCTCCTGGACATCTTGCTGCGAGCCTGGCAGCATGTTCTGCAGGCAGTAACAGTTTCCCTAGTGTGCCCCACTGGGGGCTTGTGCCCCATTCCTCCCTTACGTCCTTTCACTTATCCCTCCCTAACCCTCCTTCCTGCTGTACAATAAAAGATACATGTGTTCATTACAACAAAACTGGGGTGGTGGAGGGGAATGAAACTGAGGTGAGACTGGGGAAAGAAGGTGGGAGAGAGGAGGGGGAAACCTGGGAGGAGGGAGCTGGCAGGGGGAGGCAAGGGAAGTAAAGGGGAAAGCTCAAGGTTGGGGGTCTTGCTGGCCCAACTGTCTCCAGCACCATGGATGCGGGGGTCTTGGCATCCCGGGGGAGGGGGGTTGGGAGGGTGTGGAGGAAGTAGCAGGAGGGGGAGAAGGAGTGGGAGGAAGAGTGGTAGATGGGGAGGCAGCAGGGGCTGGAGCGGCAGGAGGCAGCAAGCACTGAACCAGGGTATGCACGTGCTCACAGATGGCACGGCCCTGGGAAAGCTGCTCCTGCCAGAGCTGCGGGTCTTCCTGCACCCAGTGGTCAAGGGTGCAGTGCAGGGCTCACAGTGCCCCCAGCAGCTCCTGATAGTACCCCTCCACTGCATGAGTGGGCCTGCGGAATCCTTGGGTGCGGGAGGCTGTCCTGGGTGGTGTGGTGCGCCCTGCACTCGCAGCTTGTGCGGCTGTGGACACACAAGAGAAGTGGTCAGTTATCCCTGGGGATACAGTGAGTGAAGCCCAGCCTCCCTCTGCAAGCGAGGATGACAGGTCTCCGCACCAGCAGAGCCGATGTGCTTGTACATAGGCCGTGTTCAGAATGTCCTGCTCTCCCCAGGAGTGGGAGCTGCCCAGGGACGCACCCATGCCCCTGTGCTGTATATATTGTGTGAGTGTGTGGTGGGGAGGAAGATGTCCTCTGCCTCTTTGTAGAGGGGGCTTGTGGAGGGAGGGCGTCCTGCTGTGTCCCATCCCGGGATCAGGAGCATGTCATGTCTCTTCACACGCACGTGTGGCTAACAGGCCAATGCCCCTGTATGGCAGCCAGCTGGGGCCATGTGCCCAGAGGTGACACGGCACGTGCTCGCACATGCGCAGGTTGCTGCATGATCCGTAGTCAGCAAGGCCTACTCGCACGGTCCCCCCCCCCGCCATAAGGGGACAGTGATGGCACTCACATATTGTTGCCTTCCCAGATGACACTGATGACAGGTCCACTGGGATGACTCGGGGGTCCTAGCTGTGTGGTACACTCCCTCCGGGCTCCTGTAGCTGCTGGCCCTCCTCCACCTCTTCTGTGCCCTGGTCAGGGCCCTCTGCTCCAGGGTCAATGACCACCTGGGGGGCACAGACTGTCCCACCCCCCCCAGGATGTGGTCTAGGGTGTCAAAATAGGGGCAGCTCTCTGTTTTGGAGCTGCTCCCTGTGGCCTTGCCATAGGCTTGCCTCAGCTCCTTAATTTTCATCTGAATCTGCTCTTGGGTTCAGATGTGGTCTTTGATGGCCAGGTTGGCAGCCTTCCTGCCATAGATGGCCACGTTCTTTCATCTAGTGCGGAGGTTATGGACCTTGGAAGCATCCCCCAAAACCTGAACCAGGTCATGATCTCCGCACTGGACCAGGATGGTGCTTGCCTTCTCCAGCCCCAGGCAGAGTCCTGGGAGCTGGGGGACTGGGCACAGGGAGTGGTGGAGGGCTGGCACTGACTGCCTGGCTCATGGTGGGACCACTGGGTCAGGGGCAGTGAATATTTGCTCTGGGCTGGCAGGCCTGGAGCTGGTACAGACACTGTGGCCAGACTCTACCCCTTTAAGGGCTCTGGGACTGGGGGGAGGGAGAGGAGTTTTCCTGGATGTGCCCAGAGTGGCCACCAGGGCACCCTGGGAAGGGCTGGAGGCCCCCATTTTGAAATAAGCGCCTCTATTCCATGTCTACACAGTGATTATTTCAAAATAGCAATTTCGAAATTGGCACTATTCCTTGTGGGATGAGGTTTACCAAGTTCAAAATAAGCCCTCCACTATTTCAAATTAATTTCGAAATAGCGGTTGGCTTGTGTAGATGCTAGTACAATTATTTAGAAATAACGGCTATTATTTCGAAATAACTTTGCTGTGTAGACATACCCTGAGCTACAAATGACAGTTTTCAAAAGTTCAAGAGCTAGAGTGAATCTGTTGGGGTTGGGGGCTTCAGCCCTGCAGGTAGAGGGTGTTGAAAATTTCAACCCCATGAGAGGGGCCTGCCAGGGCTAAGGGCTGAAGCCCTGCTCCTGGTGAAGCTCTGGGCCCCAGCATATGTGAAGTCCTGAGACTTCTTTCCCAGCTGGTCAGAAATCAGAAGTGATGCTTGGGGTCACATACTCCCCAGATTTTTGCCAGTGTTTTCTGGCCCCACGTGGTAACATGGTGCCACCGGACCTCTTCCCTGCATAGTAGCTCTGGAGTCAGCAAGTTGGGAGCTATGGCGGTGGGAAGAGACAGTGGCAAACAGCTGGGAGCTGAAGGGAGGGGCTGCTGAAGTTAAGATCAGGTGTGCCTAGGGGGCCAAAACTTTGAATTGTGCCCTCCCATTCTCAGCAGGCACCAATCATCTCAAATAGAAGCTGTAGCCCCACCATCCCACCACAGAACAGAGCCCTGAGCTCTCCTTCCAGGATAGTAGGCATAGGAAAGGGAGAAGGGCTTACAGGGTTTCACAAGCCAACTTTGACCATAAAAGAGCCACATGTGGCTTTCCAGACTTAATTTGACCAGTCATGATCTAGACCAATGTTTGCTTAATTTGCTCCTGAACATCTTCAGTGAATGAGATCCCATAATCTCCCTAGGCAATTTATTCCAGTGCTTAACCACCCTGTAGGTGTACCATTTCAGATTTTGGTGTGTGGGGTGGTGGGGGGGTGAGACCTGTGCATGCCATGATGGGGGGAGAGGGGGAGAGCATATGAGAGTGGACTGAGGACAGAGACTTCAGCAGTGTTACTGAGCATGTTCAGTATAAGCCGAGCACTAAGTGTGTGTGTGTGGGGGGACGGACACCAATCCCTTCCACCTCCCCCCCCCCCGAAAGGCATGGGGAAACTACTATTTTGGCAGCCCACTTAGCAGTTAGCTGACAGGAGCACTGTATCTAATTAATATATAAAAGAAAGAAAATTAAATACATAATAGACCCACTCAGCTCTACCACTAACATATTCTGACATATTGTGGCAGATCACTTAAGGGATACTGTTTAGCCTTAAAATTTTAATGTATATTCTTATTTTGTTACTAACTCTGTGGAGAGACACAGATCCTGTCAGGATTCCTGGACTCTATCTCAGCTCTGGAAGAGGAGTCGGATCTAGTGGGTTCCAGCAAGGGGCCAGATTAATTTTAGATCTATATTTGAACATTAGAATGGCCATACTGGCTCATACCAAAGGTCCTCCTAGCCCTGTTTCCTGTCTTCCAACAGTGGCCAGTGCCAGATGCTTCAGAAGGAATAAAAAGAAGAGGCATTCATCATGGTCCATCCCATCACCTAGTTTGTTTTTTAATTGGGTCAGCTTCTTGTGTTATGTTAGTGAAGGAATGAATAACATTTCCTTATTTCATTCTTCCACACCATTCATGAGTTTCGAGACCTCTAACATATCCTCCTCCCCACTCTTTAATCATTTCTTTTCCAAGTCCCAGTCTTGTTAA